TATCCTCAAATGAGCAAATATATTTTTGCAAAGTCACTGCTCTGGTCCTTACCTGAAGATTACAATCAGTCAGCAAACTTCACGGCACAGAGACGCCAGGTGAGGAAACTTTCAGAAACATCAGAATATTGAAATTAGAACCACTAAATTTTTCTCAGACAAATAACTCAACATGACATTCTAATGTAAGAAGTTTTCTGAATAAGAGAATTCAAGAAAAATAATTTTCTTAGGCCTTGCAAATTTAAAACTAAGCATGACAACAAGGGAAAAAACAGCACCATAATATCAGGCAATCACCTCAAAGGACGCGGTTTTCATTTTAAGAGTCAATGTTCGCCCAAAAAGACCACCTTCTTGCACGTCAGCAGATAGCACCTTTGCTATTTCAGCTGCAAACATAATAAAGTATGGTTGTCAAAGAAATGTTCAGTATAAGAAGTTTGTGACTTCAAATATCACATAACTTTGCCTAAAAATCCCAGGAAATTGATGCATTCACCATTTCGATGTTGAACAGCAAGTAGTTTATTCTTAATTTGACTGCCATTTCACACTATTTTATAATAAGATACCCTACCCAGACTCAGATTGATTTGGCATTTCCAGTTACTGGTCACACCAATAACTGCTGTAATCATAACGATGATCTCTTCAGATTTCAGTCAGTTAACCTCAAAGTTTTTTGGAGTGACAATTAAGCATAATATCAGTGGATCTTGAAATCTTTTTGGTTGATAAGTGAAGAGAACACCAAGTAACAGGTGCAACACTCTGATGAGCAGAGAGTCATAGCCCATCTAGTGATGCAAATCATCAAATTAGGAAAAGGCAGAACAATACCATCATTTATTCACTTACCTAATTTCTGATAAAGTACTGTCTCATCCTCTGTGGCTGAAAATGTTCTCTCATTGCTAATACTTTTGCGAGACCTAACAGGTGGAGTATCAGTCTTCCCAAGTCCCAGTCCAACAGAGAGAAAAAAATCTGCAACGATTCAGCAACGTGTTTGAATGCCATGTAAATTTTGCTCATGTAAATTTGTACTTATAGTAAAAATAGTGCAGTCATTTTGCTGGTCATGCTGCCTTCAAACTATCATTAGTTTAAATTATAATGCAGAGGGAACTAAGAAATGCCCAACCTCATTCATCCATTAATCTTGTTTTTTTTTAAATAAAAAGGTATAATACTAAAGGCATCTAAGGGATGCAACCATACAAAAATATTTATATATCAGTCAAAGTATCAATCAGGTCTCCAAAGTCCTCCCAAAAAAAGGAGAATGACCTTAATTAAAAAACCTAGGGTTTAGAATTACATATCCTTTTCTACAATCAAAAGATAAAACAGTAACCTTTAAGAGCTCTCGTGTTCCTTCCTTTCCATGTAACTCAAGAAGTGGCCAAAAGATAAGACCAAGTTGTCTATTATGCTGCTTAGCATAACGGATACCTTGCCAAGCCCAAGTTGCTCTTTGATTGACGTATCCACAGCCCCACTTATCCCCAGCAAACTGTGAACCAAACTCCATAATTTATAAGACCCCAGGGAACCAGAGTAAGAGATGATTGACTGTCTCCACAGCTCCTTTGCACATGTAGCACCTGTTCAAAATCACCTTCCCTTTTTCTAATGAGATTGTCAAGAGTTAAGATACAACCCCTAGCCGCCTCCCAAGCACAGAAAGCCACTCTTGGAGATGCCTTAATCTTCCAAATTAAATTCCATGAGAAATCTTCCTCATTCTTATCGTTCCTCATCAAGAAGGCATGATAAAACTTAACTCAGAAGGGGCTGCATTAATCTTCCAAGTAGGCTCATCCAAGGCTTCTAAAGAGCCTACTCATACCAAGCTCACATACTCATTAATCTCCAAATCGTTGGGGTTCCTTTCCAAGTGCACCACAAAAGCTCCACTGTCCAATGGATTAGAGAATGAATCTAGCACCGTGACCTCTTTGTCACGGGCCAAAGCAAAAAATAGGGAAAATGTTGATCCAAGGATCCCGCCTAGCTAATCATCCAACCAGAATCTCACTTTTCATCCATTAATCATTAGTTGCTTTTGCTCATTTTTCCCCCTCTTTCATATGCTAGGAAAAACTTTTAACAATGATGTACTTTGATAAATTATTATACCTTAAGCTACATAAAGCACAACCAGCGGAATCCGTAGGTATATCACCATTGCATTACATGAAATTTGACAGCTGTTGTAAGTAACACTCAAGAAAACCGCAGTGAAATTTTAACTAAAAATTTCTTCAACAATCGCAGAAGAGAAGGAAATAATAAACAGGGAAAGCATGCTAACCTGCTGTAGAATGAGAGAAAAGCGCACAGAGTAAACTGCTCTTTTGCAATAACTCCTCACATGTGGTAATTCCAAAAGCGTCCCTTAGGATATGTTCAGTGACCTTACCAATTCCTCCAATCTTGGTATATATTTGGCAGTAAAAATAATCAGAATTGCACATTACTGTAATAATTCCATAACCATGCAGTCATAATAATGATGATAATACTAATAATTCTAGAAAGTACATTTCCTCTTAAAAAAGGTACCTAAACTCTGATGCAACTAACAAATAAGATACAATACCTTTCTTATGGGAAGAGAAGATATAAATGTCATGACAGCCATCCGGTCATTTGGCAAAATGAACTGTCCATTCGGCTTATTTATATCAGAACATACCTAAGAGAGAGAATAGCAAGAATAAAATTAGAAGTCCTCAAAAAAGACAATCTATACAACAGAAAATATTGTAACTCGCCAAAAGCAAAGTAGCTACTTATATTTGACAACAGCCAAAACTTATAAGTGGTCTTTAAATAACAATCTCCAAAGAAGAAGAATAAGAAGCAGCAACAGCACGTAGGATGAGGAGGAATATTGGTGGAATTCTATGAAAAATTGCAGAACATATCTAGATTACATGCACTGGGTATTCTTTAACCTCTCAATTTCAAAGGAAAATTCACAATTTTGAAAAGATCAAGAACATATGTGGTCGCAAGATAAACTCAAATTACAAGATAGAAAAATATGTGTGTATACAGACACATATATATATATATAACCTTAGCAAGCATGCGATTTGGTGCTACTCCAGCACTACATGTCAGACCAGTCTCTTCATAAATGGAGGATCGGAGTTCTTCTGCGATCTTCATACAAGGGAAAAAAAAGGGGGTAGGTCAATTTAAGGGCCTATAAACAAAGTAATCAATGCAAGAGTTTGCATAAAGAATAAATGAAGATAAAAATGTAAAATTCTAAGGTAACTGAAAATAAGTGTATCATGAACTTACTTCTCCACTGGCAAGACCCCTTTCTCTACAGACCTCAGTTATATCAAGGTATGCTTCATCTAGACTGGTCGCTATGAAGTTAATATCATATTTCTGGAAAACTATAAAAGAGAAACAGAGCAAATTTAAAGTTAAGGTATGACATCAAGAAGCTGAATATCTTTTAATATCTTTTAAAAGCAGCAGAATAAACCTTTTCTTGTTAAATCACTGTAGTATGCATACTTCTTGAAGTCAGTGGGAACAAAAATCAAGTCTGGACATAATTTACGCGCGATAAAACCAGGCATTGCAGCACGAACCCCAAATTTTCTTGCCTGCAGAGTGGCCAAATTGTGTTCTTAATAGCAGTTCATCATGATTGAAGAAGAGATCCTTGAATGGAATATATAACATGATAGGACAAAACAATCCCCCTTCAAACATACAATAAGCAATCCAGACCTCATAATTGGCTGTGGAGATCATAGACATGCTGCCAACAGCCATTGGTTTTCCCTTTAAAGAAGGATTACTCAAAGTTTCCACAGCTGCATAGAAAGCATCCATATCTACATGTAGCCAAATCCTCGCGATATCACGTGTTGTTTCTAGCTCTAGAATTTTTTTATCTGCCACCTGAGAGTGGATCGAGTTTAATTAAGAAATTCCTCAGAGACTCAGGAAATAATGCAATGATTTAATGTTACATGTTATTTGGTAGTAGGACTGGAACATTTAGTGATTAATATTGTTAAGCCAATTAAACCAATAACAAAATCTTTATGATGCATTGAGCTCCGGATATTTCAACTTCTAGAAGAAGCTACTCCCTTAAGCTACTGACGGAGAGAATTCAAAGGATGAAAATACAAAAAATAAAATAAAATAAAATAGAATGACATCAAAGGTCCATAATCCATGCAGCTAAATGATTAGCAGTTCATACATAAGGTACATATGTGAATCCATTTAATTAGAAATAGTAACACAAATTTACATCAACCACTAAGGCAATACACAACTTCAGGAAGAAGCAAGCCCATCCAATATGACATTTCCATACAAAATATTACTTGCGCGAACATGGCAAAATGACATTTAACTACAATGCCTGAAGTGCCATAGATTCAGTGAGTTAGACACAAACCCCACCTTTCCCCTTTTAGTGTTATAAGAATTTAGCATCTTCAATAATGAATTAAGAACGCCAAATTCCTTCTGTTTCATTTGGTTCTCTTTGTTTGTTAAAACAATAGTGATTTAAACGGCATAGCAGCAGTCATGCTTCATTGAACTTTACCTTTTGATAATGAGATATTTCAGCTGCTGTGAGTTTCGCACATCTGGCGCGCATGTGCTCTATTTTCTGCCTTATAAAGGCCTCTTTCCGCTCCTCATTCTCAAAATACTTGGACCCCTTACTCATTTCATATACTATTCTTTGCACTTTCTCCTTGTCAACACCATCCATTCCTAAAAAAATCCCGAATCAACTCAGCAAGCCTTCATGCTCGAGACCCAGGGATAGTTAAAATTGAAAAAGAAGCCATGGAAAATTTAAAAACTTTCTTATTAACATATACGGACACTGTACAGTGAAAGTAGAACTACGCCCACCAGAGGTATACCTAAATGAGGACAAACTTTCAAGTCTAAACAGATCATGCTCTAGAGGCCATTTTATTTCGTGATGTAAGAAGTCAGAACAAACAACTTCCAGAGAAATTCGACAGAACCCGCTTAAATGCATAAAGAAGCTGAAACAACATCCAAGTTTATACGCATTAACTTCAAACACACATTTGACCACATATCCTCAACGCTTTGATTATCCACATCTCCAAATATCAGGATACTGACTCACCTGAACTAGAAATATAATTATAACAGTTCAAAATCATTCAAACCCTAGGCTTCCTCATTCGGTGGATCGATTAAAGCTCACCTGCTTTGGCGCTGGTGTAAACAGTGTGATAGGATTGCCATGGCCGATTCGCATCGTCTGTTGTTTCGCTCTTCTCCATCTCTGCGTTCTCGATTTCCTCGTAAGAGAATAGCGGAGACTAAAAAGGAGGGAAAGCGTAGCGGGGAAGGCTTTGGCGTATAGAAAATGTTTCTTGCTGTACGTTTAAATATTTGAGAATTTAAATATTTATTAATACAATTTTATTTATTTTATATTAAACTTTTTTTGGATAAATTATGAATAATTTTTTGATTTTTTAGATTAATTTAAAATTATAATTTAATTTTCATATCTTAAATAAATATCACAAATTCATTCCAATTAAACAAACTATACATTTTTAAATTATTTAAAAATTATAATGTAATTTTCGTATTTTAAGTAAATATCAAAAATTCATTCCAATTATACATATTAAAATTACTACAATATTTTGTATTTAAAAATAAAAATAAAAATATTAACGAAATTAAGGATAGTAATTTTAAATGACTTTTATTTTTTAAATAAATAAATAAATCTACGTTATACTATTAATTTTAACATATATTAGTTTATTAAATTAAATTAAATTATTTACTTATAACACGTATTAAATTATAGTTTAAAAAATTTTCTATTATATTGTCAATAATTTTTGTTTTGTTTTTTAAATTTTATTCATAATTGTAATTGAATATTAATTTTTGGTATATGTTTGTTCTCACAATAAAAATAAAACTTTTATATTTTTCTTCAATCTTTTTTAATATTAATGAAAATAATTGATTTTAATAAACTTAATTAATTAATGTAATATTACAATTATAATCGAAATTAAATGGTTAAAATATTAAACATATTAGATCACATATATTTTTTAATTCTATATATTTATTTTATTTTTCAATAATTATGTACATTATATATATATATATATAAATAATAATTAGAATATTGTTTGGATACGCATAATATAACAATTATTGAAAAATATTTATATATATATATATTATATATGTCATAATGAATGTATGCAATTGTTATTAAATTTATAGGAAATCATGAATGTATTAATATATTATTAAATTTAATTAAAAAATAATTTAATTATAGAGTTCCAAATATACCCTCTTCTCTGTATTTAGCACGTAAACCGGATGAAATTCATTCCCATCCCGTATGATTCAAGCGGGTCGTTTTCGCGTTCGTAATTTTGACACGTGACCAACGGTTTTTGCCCTTCGCCTACCTACTTCCCAATAACTCTACTTTCTCCCCCAAAAAGAGACACACGGGAAAAAATAAGCAGAGAGAAAAAAAATTAACGGTCACATTTTCCTCGTTCCATAAATTTCTTGCGGAATCCTTAAATTCCGGCATTTGCTCCATGATTCAGTATGGAGACTCTTATCGAATCAATTTCGACGACCGATTGCTTTCCTTTCACTGATCGATCAGTCAATTGAATTTCTCAGATTGTCTAAGACGATGGCGACTGGGTTTAGATCGTTCGTTGGGGTTTCTTTGTGTAAGTCCGTTTCGGATGGGAATAACCCTCCGAACGACACGAAATCGAGGGGATTTTTGCGGATTAAGGCTATGGAGGGACCGAATGGGGTGGCACTTAGCCAAAATGGATCGATTTTGGAGGAGAAATTGGCGAATGGGCATGCGGGTAACTCTGAGTTTCCTCTTTTTCCTTGTTTTGTTTCTTGAAGTTTACTAGTGATGTTGTTTTCGCTGGCTTGTCCGTTAAAGAAAATGGAGGAAGAGAAAGGAAACAGGGTATATTGTTATTACAAATAGTTTGATGCATATACAAGAGAGTAATTGATAGCGTCAGCCAGTATATTGCAGCTTAGCATTCACGTTTAGTTACTGATTTAATCAAAGAAAAGGCTGAAAGTGAAGGGAGTCATTGAATTATTTGATTAATATTTTTTGGTCAACTGTTGGCGATTAAGATACCTAATTTTCAAACTTTATACGTTGACAAACTCAGGGATGAAATAATGCTCGGGTTTTTAGTCAGGAACCAAGCAGGTTACAGGGAATCTGGCTGTGGAATACCGACATTTGGAAAAATAAACTTTATTTTTTAAGTTAAATCAGGTACTGGTTTGTAAAGAAAGATGACTGGCTAGGTAGCTAACTGGAGCAACAAATCATTTCAGAGCTCTTTCTTTGTGGTGCTGTGAGAATATTTTGATTTGAATTTCGAGTTTGTGCTGAATAACTTTCAATTTGGACGCGCATTCTATTTTGTCTTAGAGAATTAGGTAGCAGAATCAGATACATGGCATCTATCAGTACTAAGCAAATGGTATAACAAACCCATGATAAGCTGTGTTTACGGTTGTGTTTAAAGACAACTGAAGATTTCTACTTCTTATTTCCCGAGCTTCTGATTTATTTTTGATTAGGGAAAAATCTCAGTTCATTGTCTACGGTTGGAAAATCAACAAACATAAAGTGGCACGAATGCTCGGTTGAAAAAAGTGGACAGACAGAATTTGCTTAATCAAAAAGGATGTGTTGTTTGGATCACGGGCCTTAGAGGTTCAGGTTTGATATTGATTTTTTACTCCTTTTTTAATATGCATATATATTTTTTAACCATGTATATTTTGTGATTTACCATTGCTTGCTTTATTTCTTATTCTTCATTCAAATTCATGTGCATATATATTTTTTCCAGACTCCCACAAAGTTAAATCTCATTCATCAAATGTACTATGCCATATATTCCTTTTATAAGCAAATAGTAAGTACATGGGCAAGTGTTTTTTTTTTTTTTTTTTGGTTACTGATTCAATTTAGAAAAGCTTATACTGCTATACTACCCGTGTTTTTATGTATTAAAATGAATTTTTGCTAAACAATGTGACATTATGATATGGATCATCACAAATGGAAAGAGAAACAACGCTATCTAACTCTTGTACGAAATGCAATAGTTTATATTTGACCTATGGATACACATTCTCTGGGTACTTTGATGTGGTTCTTACTGGGATACATCCAGAAATGCCAAATTGATTAATAATGTAATGCAAAATATAAGTTCCCTTAATTTTCCATGATTCTGTTTTACCATTTTGCATTACAGATTCTGCTTAGTTAAAATGCTACTTTCTGTTGTTGGGTCGTACCTTATTGTTTCTTGGTTTGAGCAAGTAACCAAAAACCACCAACGCAGAAAAGTTATCGCTTCTTGCTTAGAATAATAGAAAGTATTTTTATATGTTTATAGTTTTGAGTTATCTTAGGTAACTGTCTCTCTGTCATCTGTAATTTTTGTGATTAGAAGTTCATTTTGAATCAGATGAGGTATTTGTCCGTTATCCCCAACTCATATCTATGCTCTTCATTTTATAGCTCGTAATTTCGAATCTTATTGCAGGGAAGAGTACTTTGGCATGTGCTTTAAGCCAGAGCTTGTACCAGAAGGGAAAGCTGTGTTATATTCTTGATGGTGACAATGTGAGACATGGTTTGAATCGTGACCTTAGTTTTAAAGCAGAGGATCGCGCCGAGAACATACGAAGGGTTGGTAAGTGTTACTGGAATGGATGTGCTTACTTTTTTAATTTTTTTATAAAGAATTAAACTTTTTTTCAGAAAGAATTAACTACACATTCTGCTGTGACTATTATGAGATCCATGCTCCAAATATATTATTGATTAGTGAGAAAAATCTAATGATGTGATTGTGAAATTATGAATTTCTTTTCATTTATTTATTTTCTTGTTTGTTCAGGGGAGGTAGCAAAGCTGTTTGCAGATGCTGGAATTATTTGTATTGCTAGTCTTATTTCCCCCTATAGAAGGGATAGGGATGCCTGCCGCAGTTTATTACCAGATGGAGAATTTATTGAGGTTGGTGATTTGCTAAATTCCGACCATTATTGTTTTGGCGAATTGTGACGAGAATAGTAGTATTCATCTGGATATAATGTTTAAGTACCAACCTCTTTTGTTTAGTACACTTGACTATTTGGTAGAACAGGTCTTCATGGATGTGCCACTTCAAGTTTGTGAGGCAAGAGATCCAAAGGGCCTCTATAAGCTTGCACGTGCAGGGAAGATTAAAGGTATTTTGTCGACATCAAAATTTTTCCTCATCTTATGATTGGCAATTCTTGTTCAAATAATCCATTTTCCCTCGTCTTCTGAGTCAATCTGAATCTCATGCATATGATGCCAAATAATTTGGGAATTCTTCTTATCCCATATTCAAAAAATTTTCTCATTTTGCTTGTATGCACACCTTGTCTTTTCATCTTCGTTTTTGTCTATTATCTAATCTTTACACTTGGAGAAATAATAACAGTCATCTATTCGTTTTAGTATCCTTGCCGGTTTAATTATGTTTATTGATTATCACAAATGTTTCATTTCCCTAAATTTGCAGGTTTTACAGGAATAGATGATCCTTATGAGTCGCCATTGAACTGTGAGGTATGTTCACTAGATACACAAGATTATGATCATATGCTTGCATAAAAATGCATCTATACACGCGGAAGACAAAATAACAGTCATATGCACACATGAAATACTTAGTAAGTTTATAGTAAAACCCTATATTCCAATTTGATTGAACTGCTCCAAAGCAGCTTATGTTGATGCATTTGCTAGATTTTATTTCTGTGGTTGTAGACAAAACCTTGATATGTTGCCTGTATACAGTAGGAACTTGAACTCTTGCAGCTATAATTAACCTTAATCACCGAAAAGACATGTATTTTTTCAATGGTGCCTCAAAAGCACCATGTCTCTAGGTAATCTTCTAACCATTAACTTCTATATTGCAATCACATAACATTATACAGTAATTCAGTCATTACACAATATTAAGTAATTGTTTACAAAATTATTAAATTATTATGAAATAATATAATTTTGCATGAAAGCATTATTCCTCTAAGACATCATAGATTTTTTTTTCCCTCTTTTTGATAGCTTTCTCATGTCAAATTCCAGATTATTTTGAAACATAACGATACTGGTGCTTCTCCAAGAGAAATGGCTGAAAATGTGGTTTCTTACTTGGAGCAGAAAGGGTACTTGCAGGCATAAGAAACTGGTGACGGTATCTGGATTTCCTTCAATTCTACAACTAATTAACCATAATGGAGGAGACCACTGGTTTCTTTGAATGCATGTTTTAGGATCATTAGCTTCCAGGATTATATGTGAAATGATTAGAGTATTAACCAGCCTACTCTTCATTCTCTTATCCTTTTCTTTGTTTCTCTTATTTGTATGCATAGTAGAGATTTGTTTGGTCCCCTTCCACCCATCCTTCATGTTACAGCAAGAAAGTGCATGTGTATCTCCACTCCCAG